GACATTGCAGATGGCATTGTGCATGCATCATATTTTTTTAAAAATCTTTTTCTCATGACCTAGCTCAACTGGAACTGCTTTGGTGACACTGGGAAGCTGCAAAGATTGCATGGGTCAGGAGCATTTGTTTTGGTTTTTTTACAGGAAACATCCTTATGAGAAACTGCAAGTCCCTGCAAGGCAGCTAGAAGCTGTTTTTCATTCTGGCTTCCATAGTGGGTTGACCATTTCCCTTGGCAGACTTGTGTCTGGTGGTGCCGACATTGCTGGCTTCCACAGAGTTTGCTGTTTGGAAGGCTGCAGACCTTTTTTTTTTTTTTTTTTTTTTTTTTTTTTTTTTTTGGGGGGGGGGGGGGGGGGGGGGAGAGTTGGGCCATTGAACATGAGTTATTTTTTCCATCCTTGGACATGAAAGGTTGACTTTGATGTTTAGTCTGTGATTTCTGAAACTGTGCTGCACAAGGCAAGTCTATTTCCAGGAAAGACTATTAGAAACTCATGTTTTTATTAACCCTTGTGCAATTTCATGAAATTCTTGGTCAGAGGATGCAGATATTAATCAAAGCTCCAAATACATCTTGTCTCCTAATTACTAATTAAATGGAGCAGTTTTTAAAATGATGATATTCATTACATTTCTGGATTGCACCCAGGGTTTTTGCTTTACACCATGCTAAATCCATCACAGCAAATGAAGTGGGTTAAGTATGTCTCTCACCATGCTCAAAATAATCACATACACTGCTCTGTGTATCTAGGGGAAACATGGTACACCTGTGTGAAGGCCTGTCATTGTACCAGAGTGAACTTTTGTGAGCTGCTGAAAGCCTGGATCTTCCACCGACTTCAGGAGGGGGACCAGCTTTCCCCAAGAGACACACTTTGCAAACTGTTTTTATTTAGCCTTTAGTCAGACCAACTTCTGCTGGCTTTGGTGAGGACTACATAAGGGACTCAAGATCCGCTGCTATGGGAATTTTCAGTTATTTGGTTTGTAAGTTGGTCAATCAAAAGGAAAGGTACAATGGATCTGATTCTTCCCTCTCCATGATAGAGTTAGACCAATGAAGACCTAGTCAGAGCAACTATATAATGCACTGGGGCTGATGTAGTTTTATTAATCCTCCAACAGAAACCCAGGGTGTATGGCCCCCATGGTCCCAGAACACCTGCAGACTTGTGCCAGTCCATCTGGACACACTGGGTTTGTGAGATAGCCAGAGTACTGGTTCTGGGAGTTGGGTTAGGTACATTTTTCTGGTCTTGTTAATATGATTCCTCACATAGCCATATTGCTAAGGGCAGGGGAGTAAATTTGTTTACATAACTCTGATTGCTGTCCTTGTTTCTTTTAGAGTCTCTGCCATTTCTGTCTCCATCTGGCTCTATGGATGCCTGGGCAATTCCTTCTGGGAGCCCTAAGCTCTTCCTTTCTGTATCATAGCCTGAACATATTCTAATGACATTACCCATGCTCCTGTAATGACATTATCTCTGGGTCTGTGATGTATCCATTTCCATGCTCAAACAGCGGAAGTCACTGTGAATTTTGTCTATGACTTCAATGGGAGACATTTGGAGGAAGAATCTAGTCGTGTGTGTGTGTGTGTGTGTGTGTGTGTGTAATGTGTATAGGCTTAATAGATACGGCTTTGGAAAGCAATATGCTCATTAGCTAAGCCAAACATTTTATTCTTGGTGAGATATTTACAACAACAAAACCAGCAGGCAGAAAAACAACTGAAGGAAGTCTTGCAGACTGAACAGTGCTCTCAGTGTGGGGTATTCAATAAACAGACACTTAGGTAGGTGCAAACAGTCTCCATAGCTTTCTGCAGCCTGTCTGTTCCCTCTCATAGCAAGAAGAGTCCCATATTGCAGTTTTAACTGGACTTTTATGCAGTGTTTGCAGTCAGTGTGATAGAGCCAAAGTACATGCACAATTGGTGAATGGTGCATATAATTTGGCTCCCACCGGTGGTACACTACAATGGGAGTATTCATGGTCACATAGTATAAAATTACCATAGACTGAGCATAAACCATTTTACAGGCTATGGTATGGCTTTTCCACAGCTGTGAATGTTGGCATGAAGGGAAGGAAAAAAGTTCTGCCTACCAGCCTATTTACCACCAGTGACTCAAAGGCAAATGCCTCAAACAAATTCTTGTCAGGATTCTTCTAAACATCCCACTCCAGATGAAGATGGAAGACGCTGACCTTAAAAACAATTCTGCCATTTCTCCCCTGCTCCCCATCCCTTTACCCGCACTGCAGAAGGCCAGCTCATTCACTCTGACTCCTCCTACTTCACTTCTGTGTTCTTAGCTACCGACCTAAACTGATTTAGCAACTTAATTTAAATGTTTATTTATGCTTGGCCTTTTTGTTTGGGTTTCACTGCAACCAGCCCTTAAGTGTGGGTTTAGTTATGCTTGCCTGTCAGCAGTAATGGATTAAGGCTAGCTAGTATCCAGACTGAGCTAAATAGCAAAACTCCAAACTAACAGACTTTTTTCCAGAGAGAGGAGACAGATTTCCTGAAAGGATTCTTCCTTTCTGCCCTAATTCAGTCTTTCTCAATCTGGAAATCATTTGAAACATGGGAGTAGGATTAGTCAATCCACTGAGTCAAGCATCATCTCCAACTGCTTCATGAGGGCTACGTCAAAGAGAATGTGATGGCTGTAGTCACCTGGGTATAGCCAGCCTTTGGGTTTGCATCACAGCGCCTGTGTCTTTCAGCTGTATGCTCTTGGCAGTTGTGCAGTCACACAGGAAGTAACACTTGCTGACGTGATGCAAGGAGGTGTTAGACTCCTTTTCACTTTCCATTTGTGCATATGTGATTAGTGGTGTGGAGAGTGAGGGGCCAGACAGTGAGGGGCCTCTGTCCCAGAGAACAAATAGTAGAAAGGACAGTACAATCAAATTTCAGAAGACATTGCTGCTGCACTAACTTGTTTGTGGGATGGTTACAACCTGTGAACTACATGACGGGTTATTTAAGAAATGGCAGGTACAGACTAAGGAAATCTAGATCATAGAATCATAGAAAATTGGGGTTGGAAGGGACCTCAGGCAGTCATCTAGTCCAACCCCTTGCCCAAAGAAGGACTGTCCCCATTGCTATCAACTATAGGCCAAACAACTGTGGATATGTCTGTTGCACAATTCACTGCTGTGTAGCTCAGTTCAAATTAAGTTGATATCCCCAACTCAGCTGCTAGAAGCAGTTTGGGTAGGTCCTAAGGAGGGTAAATTAGCCTGGGCATGTTGTATCAATGGGCACATCCAGATGAGCATGGAAGTGCAGTATTTGGTGCTGTATGCGCTGCACATGCATACATTCCCCACGCTACTAATTTGCAGCAGTGATCCCAGTGTCAAAAAACCCATGACTTAAAACAGTGTGGTGGTGCATGTGGCAGTAGCGTGCACTACCAGAAACTGGAGCCTGGCTGGTCAGTTATGCTCTGGCTGCCAGCCAGGCCCTGTGCTGCTGGCCCTCAGCACCCCACGTAAGGCTGCTGGGGCTAGCCCAGGTGCACAGTCTACCTTTTCTTTGGCAATTGTGGAATGATGTTGTAGCCACGACAGTCCAGGAAAGGATTTTTGCCACCGATGTCTTTAATTGGACCAACTGCCTGGTTGGGATAGATGCTTTTCCTTAGATGTGAAGGATGCAGCGCATTCAGGAGCTTGTCCAAGTCTACCTCGACTAGCTACATGTTGCGATAAAAGATACACTCATAGCTTCCTTGGCTAGCAGTGATCCCTGCTAGATGCTACTAACCGGGAAGTCTTATGGCAGCACGACTTCTCTCCATGATCTGGTTTAATCTGCGGAGTACTAATGTGTGCTGCTTTTCTCCTAATACCAAGGTCACCGGGACGGACCACTCGCTTGGCCGTGACCTCTTCCCCTGGGCGTCTGCCCACGCTCCCACTTGTGCGCCGAGCCGCGGCTGCCCCGG